CTGAAGGCTCATCTATTCCGTGCGGCCGGCCTGGCGTAGTTTGATTATGTTTTAGTGGGGGTTTTGTATGGGGTATTTTTAGAGCAGGCCTGTTATTTAATTTGATTTTAGACAGAAATTTGTGTATATTTATTGTGGTTTTTATTATCGCCTGTTCACCGCCCTGAGTCCCGTAAGGGAGATAGGGCGGTATATAAATCCAATAAATAATAATAATAATAATAATCTTTACCATGTTGCAAAAAATGAGGTATTTTAAAAAGAATAAAACCTAAGAACCTGTTGGGGATTAGGTCAAGGTGTCCAGAGATTAAAATATCTTTCATGGTTGCTTTTCCCCAGATGCTTTTTTTCTCCATTTTTAATCTTTAATCTACCTTATGCCTGTCCTTCCCTTAGAGTTTGCCAATGAATTCCAAAATTTTCAAATAATCTGGAATCTCAGTGGAGAATAAATAAATGCATGCTAATAAACAAATGTTTTGAAACAACTCCAGCCTGTTAGTTCAACCTATTTTTCTTCCTATAGGAGGAGAAAAGCTTGATCGTATCATGCCTCCAAAGAACAGAAGTTTAATATTATCCTCTTTGTTCTGTCTTCCAGTACTAGAGAAGACATGATATCTCATAACTGCTGAATTTGTATTTGATGGATTCTGTTTTTATGGCAAAGAGTTAGGCAAGGAAGTAAATCCTTGACTGGAGAACATCACATTCAGTCTTTTGCCTTATCTTCTGACGGGCATACTTTCAGTCTACCTTTGAGATTATAAATTCTGAGAATGGTATATTCTGTGCTTTTACATAGCCATGGGAACTTTCTGCTTTTGGCTTCCAGTCTTTGTGTGACTGGGCAGGAAACTGTTTTTTCAGTAGATCATCTCATATTTGTTTCATTACCACCCCTCTATTATAATAGACAATTGTATCACTTTATTCCAGAGATTAGCCAAGAGACAGCTGTCAATCCTGTCGACATTGTTAGCACTCTGCAAGCCCTTCAGATGCTTAAGTACTGGAAAGGCAAACACCTGGTCCTAAAAAGACAGGTAAGAGTTTACCTTGCAACTCTGCATCTTTGTTTGGGATGTTTGTGGGTATCGACTATATGCTCTGAATTTTGGGGGAGAAATTGATTTCCTGCCTTAGATATGCTGTATCGGCAAACAGGAGTTTGCATTCATTACCTGAGCACAGAAATCTCTTGCAGGACTCTTTTCATTTTTCCTGGCAACCCATAGCTGTCTGAATATTGTTGGGAGTCCAGTATCTGAAGAGCTATATATCTGCCAATATATATCTCCCTGCCTTTCGCAGCGTTTATTGCTTTATACAGTTTTCCAAGCAGCAAAAGATAACATAGCAACAGCATAGCAATGGCATTTTTATTGGTAGATTCTCCTTGTCAATCCTTAAGAATATCTCAGCCAGGGGCACCAAGCAGGGGCAGTTTTCTGCTACATCCTGTTGGTGTGAACGAGATGAGATCATGTGAACCAGGTGAAATCATGTACCAGCCTGGGGTAGTTTCCTACATCACCATGGCGATATGAACGGGGTGAGATCATGCAGGGATTCGAGGCATGCGGCATTTGAGGTAGGCAGTTTGCTGCTCACGACCTCTACCTGACCTCTATCTATACATTCTGATTTTTTTAAAAAAGCTGTTCTGTGGACTAAGGCATTCTGACTTAAGAACAAAATGATCATTTCAACAAATCCATGGTGACTGGTCCTTTTTGTAGGCATACAGTAAATGCATTAAGACAAAATCAATACAAGCAAACACATTTGTTTCCTAAAGTTTTCCTTTATTCTGTTTTCTTTTTCTTTTTTTAATCCATCTAAGTTATTACAGCCTCACTCTCTAAAACAGTAAGCCTGAAATACTGACATACCAGTTTTCAACCTGTAGCAAAAATACAGGAAAATAGGACTCTTTTGAAATTAATCAGTCAGGGGCCTTTTTTGAACCTACACACAAAGGATCTTACTTAAGAAAGCAGGACTGTTAAATTGTCTTTGTGACATACAACTATGCATGTATTTATTTAGGCCTAAAGGCCACTGTAATCACAAATGATTCTAAGCAGCATTCACTTTTCCAAGGCTTTTTTAAACACTAGCAGGGTTGGTGCTGATCTGACCTCAGGTAGAGCACTGTGCCAAAGGAGAGGGACAGTAACAAAACTGTTTTAACTTAGCTTGAAATTTCTGCTAATACTAGTTATAGTTCTGCCTTCTGTAGATAAATTTTTCCAAGCTTTTAACCTTCCTCCCTCTTTTCCCCCTACATCTTCTCAGGATCTTATTGATGAATGGATAGCCAAAGAGGCCAAAAGGTCCAACAGCAATAAAATCATGGATCCCAGCTGTTTGAAATGGAGCCCTCCCAAGGGCACTTAATTAACCTGTCTCTCCAAAAAGTGTGAACATCCCACTCGTGTGCTGCCATCATCACCACTCTGGGTACTTTTTGTTTTTCCATAACTAGAAACATCCTTTCAGATCTTGGACATGTGTTTGCTCTTGGTACCAGCTCTCCCTTTTCAGATGTTCCTGCAGTGTTTCACTTCTTTTAAAACCTTTTTGACCAGACACCTTGTCCACGAGGCAAGATTGAAAAGATGATAAAGTTCTGGACAATATTAACGTGGCCTCAAAGTACTGTAAGATTTACTTACTCCTCCGTTAGTTATATGCTTGGGTTGCTTCTCATATTTTTAGTTTTGTAACTTGCTGCTTCTATTGTAGCCCTCAGATGTAGTCCACCTATGCAATACAGTGGGATTGCAAATGTGATGGAAAGGATCGTATTGCTTCATCTTGGAGATGGGGGAGCGGGGGGAAGAGAAAGATCAATTTTAAATTTCTCTGATAAAACAAAGGAAAGCGAGTGGGGCCAGGGACGGAGGATCTCATCAGTCCCATTGCTATACTAGTTTTCATTTGCACATTTTTAATAGATAAGAGACCACTCAAAAAACAATCCTTTGCCTTTTTTTTCTGAAATGCTCCAGTCCATTCTATTCACCCTACACTTCCCTGTCATTCTGCTGCATGTTTATATACATTCGAAATGTAACTCCATGAGACTATTTCCCAACCACTTGATGACAAGGTACAAGTAAGAAATGATCCAACACTTCCTGGAATCCCAAATTACTTTTGGATGAGCAAATTTCTCACATTGATTTGCAGAACCTAATACGTCTTTGATCTTGGCACCTGTGTATGCCAACATTCTCCTCACAATACATCTCCCTCTTCAGTCCACCGTAGGAGTTGACAGGCAAGGAAATCTCCAAAGTGGCTTTGATTTCTGAGAATAGTAATAGTGCTTATTATTCTGGACACAGGGTAGCAGAAGCAATGAGTCAGCCCTCTGTGAATTGGCTGATGGATTTTGGTCAGGTGACCCTGATGGCAGTTTTTGAACAGGCTCTGACTGCCAGTACACTTCCAAGAGTCAATTAAATTAACTTTGTGGAAGGAAGATTGCCAGATCAACATTCTAGCCTTGGCATAGCATTGTCTTACTAATTTGGGATAACTCATCATTTTGGATTTGCTGCTTCAAGGCTCCTATCCTTGGAGCCCAAGGAATATGCATAGGAACACATTCCATCAGCTGGGGGGGGTGGGGTGATGCTCCTTTTGCCAAGTTGTTCATTTGCAATAGATTGCCATGTGCATTTGGCAGTTTTGTCATTTATGATTCAATTTGTGAAGCTGCTGGATGTTCTGGTACCAGGCCTTGGGGGAATTTGTTGCAGCTGACTGAATATAGACTTCATGATGGCTTGCGTTTTTTGGCCATATATTGGCGATTTGCAGATTTTCCCTGCCAATGAGACTACCTTGGTCTGATAACTTCCTTTTTCTTTTTTCAAGGAGTAGATAAGGAGATCAACAGCTTCAGTGATGCTGTTCCATACATGAAAGTTGAGAGCTGGCTCAGAAGCCTTTGAGGGCAGGTGGACAGTTGTGGGCATTTCTGAAATAATGGCTTGTTGTTTTGCAAATGAAAAAAATAAAATCCACTACACAAGGTTACCCAAAGATACATTTTTAATCTCATTTTAAGATTTGGTACCTGGATGTTTATCATAAGATGACTCCAACAGTTTGAAATTGTGAAAAATGAAAAATAAAACTTCAGCTGTGGTGGACCTCCAGCATCAGTTCCATAGTAAGCATGCCCCTTTTCAAACGAGAGTGCACTTATCTTTTAAGTAAAGCCTCTGAATTAAAGGGAGTCCTCTACTAGTAATAATTAATACCTACTTATAACAGCTGGGAACAATGGAAGAGAAGAGAGGAGAGAAAGCATTTTGTCCGATGAAGGAAGATTTGTAAGTGTTTCAAAGAAAACTCTTGACCATTGTAAGTCAGGTGCTACAAGGTGTCTTAATTTGTCCATCTCTAAAACCTCAACCTTCCTAAAGTACAAAAAGAGGAAGAGGAAAACTCTGGCCAGCCTGCTACACTATTTTCTACTGGTTCCGCTTTTGTATAGGTGGCAATCTATACATAACAAATTGGACTTCTGACAGTCTTTGCAAGGCTTCTCTCCCTTAGGTTGCTCTACTGGCCAATCTTTTGGCCACAGTTTTGCATGATATTATACAGTAATATTCCAGTATTTGAGATGGGAACCTACTCCTAAATGCTGAGGTGGTGTACAAACCAGTGCAACACCAGTGTTCAAATGAGACACAGAGTAAGCTGAAACTGGGAGTACACTCACATGCAGCAGATCAAAGTGGCCACAATGTAGATTTTTGGATGGCTGTGTGCACCGCAGCTTGCTGTCTGGACATTTACATCCTGGATTTGATCTTAACATAGCTTCTTTTCCTTAGGCATTTTTTTTTCTTCCTGACATGGTGGACTATGCAAAGAGACAGTATGTTTGATCTGTTTCAGGGGTTCAGAAAAATGGGCTGGTGCATTCTGCACTCCTAACTGCAATTTCCACAAAAAGGAGGAGTAAGGAGCATAGTTTTTAATGGTAGACATACTTCCAGATGAAGCATCCTGCAGATATAATTGTCCATATGCTATGCCTTTCACTTCTGCCTAGTGTGCAGTTGTCAACAGTAGACATCTGCATGACATACAACCTGTTTTCAACTGGATGTTATTTTCAAAATATATTGTCCTCTTGTCTCTCATCTTGGGAAAAAAAAATGAAAAGGCACTTCATCTCCCACAAGGATTCCTACACAAGAATTCCTGTCTGTTCTTGGTTTTTTTTACCTTTTTATTGCTATCCTCAATCTGTCACAATTTCTATTTCTCTGCACATTTTCTGGCAATTGTCCTCAGGTTCTAGATTATTGTAAATGGGATAATGCTCTCTTTTGTACCGAAGGGAGGCTGGCTGTTCTTGTACAGAAGCAAAACTGTTTTCCTGGATATTTTAGAATATGTTACCAATGTTATCAACTTCTCAATAAAGCATGTTCTCTGTTCTCACTTGCTTCTCATAAGTATTATTCTGAAAGGATTGCTTGTTATGTATTGACCTCTAAGCAAGATTTTCTAGAGAGTACTCCTCCTTGGAACCACAACCCAAACCCAAACCATGAACAGAGGACAGTAATCCTGAATCTTTTAGGTGTACTCAGAGTGTATATTTCACTAATTCTGGGAATCATAAACAGCCACTGCTCTCCAACTATGTTTTTACCTGTGAAATAATCTACAATATCACCTATGCCTCCACCCTTTTATTTTTACCTAAAGGTTTCTTTTTGTTATGTGGGCATATGAGGCTCATACTCATGTCCTAGCATACAGTTTAGGGGAGAAGGTTCATGTGCCATTGGGTGCTTGACCTCTCTATATGTCCTGCTTCCTGTGCAAGTAACCCTATCAACCCAACTTAAGTGAGAACTATCATAATCTTGCTATTTGTATCATTTCATTTTACAGTGAGGGAAAAAATTATTTGATCTCCTGCTGTTTTTGTATGTTTGCCCACTGACAAATGATCAGTCTATAATTTTAATGGTAGGTTTATTTTAACAGTGAGAGACAGAATAACAGCAAAAACTCCAGAAAAACACATTTCAAAAAAGTTATAAATTGATTTGCATTCTAATGAGTGAAATAAGTATTTGATCCCCTATCAATCATGAATTATCAACCTTGCTGTAAGAATATCAACCTTGCTGTAAGAATATCAACCTTGCTGTCAAGCAAAATCAAGCTTTTAATAGCGAGTGCCACACAAAGTGCACTAACCAAACAGGTGGTAAGAAAATAGGGGAACTCAGGCACCACACAGGTTATGTAGAAAGTAAACACAGGGTCAGTCATAAAGGACTCAAATGTCTATACACCAATGCACAGAGTATGAACAGTAAACAGGGTGAACTAGAAATTCAGGTAAATGAGGGCAGATAGATATTGTTGCCATTACGGAAACATGGTGGGATGAAACCCACAAATGGAACACACAGCTAGAGGGATTTAAATTATTTAAAAGAAACAGACCAAATAAAAGAGGAGGTGGAGTTGCTCTCTATATAAGAAATAACTACATCTATACAGAAATAGAGCACAACAATGATGAAAACTGTCTTGAATGCATTTGGGTCAATATAAAAGGGGGGGGGGGAGAATGACATTGCCATAGGTGTATACTATAGGCCACCCAACCAAACAGAGGAAATAGATTAACTTTTTGCTTGTCAGCTAACTAAGGTATGTAGGAAGCACATCACAATAGTAATGGGGGACTTTAATTACCCTGACATCAACTGGGAGACAAGCTCTGCACCAAGTGGAAGATCAAACAGATTCCTGAAAACCTAGCAGACACCTTTGTCTCCCAAAAAGTAGAGAAGGGAACTAGGGGATTAGCCATTTTGGATCTAATTCTCACTAACAGAGATGAAATGATAGAAGGTGTTGAAGCCATAGGAACCTTGGGAGGAAGTGATCATGCAATATTGGAATTCAACATTATGGAAGCACAAGCAATAGAACACAGTCAAACTAGAGTCTTGGACTTTAAGAGAGCTAATTTCAATAAATGTAGAGAGAGCTTGGGAAGGATTCCATGGATGAGAATCCTCAAGGGGAAAACAACTCAAGAAGTTTGGGAAATTTTGAAAAGTGAGATAATAAAAGCCCAGTCTAGCACAATACCAACAAAGAAAAAAAATAACAGCTCTCAAAAGAAACCAGCATGGCTGCATAAAGAACTCTCTGATAAATTGAAAGATAAAAAGGACAAGTATAAAAAGTGGAAAGAGGGGCACATAACTAAAGCAGAATATCAGCAAATAGCCCGAGCCTGCAAAGATGAAGTGAGGAAAGCTAAGACTCAAAACGAATTAAGGCTTGCGACAAAAGTCAAAAATAACAAAAAAGCTTCTTTCAACATGTAAAAAACAAGAAAAAAGTGAAGGAAATGATTGGTCCATTAGTGGTGGAAAGTAGCAAGAAGGTGACAAGCAACAGGGAGAAAGCAGAGCTATTTAACTCATTTTTTGCATTTGTCTTTACACAAAGGGAAAAAGCAGTCCAACCTATCAAAATCAGTACCATAAAAAATAGATTAGAAACACAAGATAGGCAAGAAAATGGTAAGTGAGCACCTGTCCACCCTAGACGAGTTCAAATCACCAGGACCAGATGGATTACACCCCAAGGTTCTCAAGGAACTGACGGATGTGATCTCACAACCACTGAACTATATTTTTCAAAGATCCTGGATGACTGGGGAACTACCAGAGGACTGGAAAAGAGCTGATGTAGTTCCCATCTTCAAAAAAGGGAAAAAAATGGATCCAGGAAATTACAGACCTATCAGCCT